TGTCCCACAAGCTCTTATAACTTAATTTGACCTGTTTCTCTTCATCTACATATTGCTTCAAGGCTTTTTACCTTTCTTTCATTCTGTATGTCCTACTTTCCTGCTTCCTCTGTGGCTGGCTGCCAGGCCCAGGTGCCTCCCTCTCTTTCTCCCTCATTCTCTTCTCTCTCTCTCTCTCTCTCTCTCTCTCTCTCTCTCTCTCTCTCTCTCTCTCTCTCTCTCTTTCCCCCTCTCCCCCACCCTCCTTTCCCTCCTAAACTCCTCCTCTTACTTATTTGCTCTGCCTGACAGCCCCGCCTATCTACTGCCTAGCTATTGGCCATTCAGCTTTTTATTAAACCAATCAGGTGCCTTAGGCAGGGAAAGCAGCACATCTTTACATCTTTAAACAAATGCAGCATAAACAAATGGAACACATCTTTACATAGTTAAAGTAATACTCCCCATTTCTTCCCATCCACACTTCTTCCTAGTCACACCTGTGATCCCATCTCTTCCTATCCCCATAGGTCATCCCATGCTGTCTGTAAAAAGCTCATTTTCAAAAAAAAAAAAAAATAAAATTTAAAAAGGCTCATTTTCAATCAAGGGTGTACCCAGAGATAATAAGAGTTTATGAGACAAAGCTTGAGTAGCTCACACGTGTATCAGGAAAAATAGACTTTGAGTCACAACTGTCTCTAGACACACGAACAAAAGTTTCAGTCAACAGGCAAATTCCAAATTTATAAAAAATACACATCTGACATTGAAGCAGCCCAAAGCTACCTCACTTGCCTGTAAAGAGAAAGACACATAATTAGAAGTGGACCTGGGTTTTGAGGACGTGGCATTGTAAGATTGAGAGGGTGACTCTAAAAGGGAAAAAATGTAATTATCAATATAAAGTCAGTTCAAAGGCCTAAGCAGGGCCATACTCGCACTGGACCTTCAAACTTAAGTTCCACCAGCTTGTTGAGGATGCCTTCAGCTTTATCCTTGCCCTAAAGCACACAAGGCCTACCTTCTTCTCACCCTAGACATCTGCACACACAACCTATACCCTCTTCTCACCTTGGACATCTGCACACCCCACACCCTCTTCTCACCCTAGACATCTGCACACACCCCACACCCTCTTCTCACCTTGGACATCTGCACACACACCCCACACCCTCTTCTCACCTTGGACATCTGCACACACACCCCACACCCTCTTCTCACCCTAGACATCTGCACACACACCCCACACCCTCTTCTCACCTTAGACACCTGCACACCCCACACCCTCTTCTCACCCGAGACATCTGCACACACACCCCACACCCTCTTCTCACCCTAGACATCTGCACACACACCCCACACCCTCTTCTCACCTTAGACACCTGCACACCCCACACCCTCTTCTCACCCTAGACATCTGCACACCCCACACCCTCTTCTCACCTTAGACATCTGCACACACCCCACACCCTCTTCTCACCCTAGACATCTGCACACACACCCCACACCCTCTTCTCACCTTGGACATCTGCACACCCCACACCCTCTTCTCACCTTGGACATCTGCACACACACCCCACACCCTCTTCTCACCTTGGACATCTGCACACACACCCCACACCCTCTTCTCACCCTAGACATCTGCACACCCCACACCCTCTTCTCACCTTGGACATCTGCACACACACCCCACACCCTCTTCTCACCCTAGACATCTGCACACACACCCCACACCCTCTTCTCACCTTGGACATCTGCACACACACCCCACACCCTCTTCTCACCTTGGACATCTGCACACACACCCCACACCCTCTTCTCACCCTAGACATCTGCACACACACCCCACACCCTCTTCTCACCCTAGACATCTGCACACACACCCCACACCCTCTTCTCACCTTGGACATCTGCACACACACCCCACACCCTCTTCTCACCCTAGACATCTGCACACCCCACACCCTCTTCTCACCTTAGACATCTGCACACCCCACACCCTCTTCTCACCTTGGACATCTGCACACACACCCCACACCCTCTTCTCACCTTAGACATCTGCACACACCCCACACCCTCTTCTCACCTTAGACATCTGCACACACCCCACACCCTCTTCTCACCTTGGACATCTGCACACACACCCCACACCCTCTTCTCACCCTAGACATCTGCACACACACCCCACACCCTCTTCTCACCTTGGACATCTGCACACACACCCCACACCCTCTTCTCACCTTGGACATCTGCACACACACCCCACACCCTCTTCTCACCCTAGACATCTGCACACACCCCACACCCTCTTCTCACCTTAGACATCTGCACACACCCCACACCCTCTTCTCACCCTAGACATCTGCACACCCCACACCCTCTTCTCACCTTGGACATCTGCACACACACCCCACACCCTCTTCTCACCTTAGACATCTGCACACACCCCACACCCTCTTCTCACCTTGGACATCTGCACACACACCCCACACCCTCTTCTCACCCTAGACATCTGCACACACACCCCACACCCTCTTCTCACCTTGGACATCTGCACACACACCCCACACCCTCTTCTCACCTTGGACATCTGCACACACACCCCACACCCTCTTCTCACCCTAGACATCTGCACACACCCCACACCCTCTTCTCACCTTAGACATCTGCACACACCCCACACCCTCTTCTCACCCTAGACATCTGCACACCCCACACCCTCTTCTCACCTTGGACATCTGCACACACCCCACACCCTCTTCTCACCTTAGACACCTGCACACCCCACACCCTCTTCTCACCCTAGACATCTGCACACACACCCCACACCCTCTTCTCACCTTGGACATCTGCACACACACCCCACACCCTCTTCTCACCTTGGACATCTGCACACACCCCACACCCTCTTCTCACCTTAGACACCTGCACACCCCACACCCTCTTCTCACCCTAGACATCTGCACACACACCCCACACCCTCTTCTCACCTTGGACATCTGCACACACCCCACACCCTCTTCTCACCTTAGACACCTGCACACACACCCCACACCCTCTTCTCACCTTGGACATCTGCACACACACCCCACACCCTCTTCTCACCTTAGACATCTGCACACCCCACACCCTCTTCTCACCTTGGACATCTGCACACACCCCACACCCTCTTCTCACCTTAGACACCTGCACACCCCACACCCTCTTCTCACCCTAGACATCTGCACACACACCCCACACCCTCTTCTCACCTTGGACATCTGCACACACACCCCACACCCTCTTCTCACCTTGGACATCTGCACACACACCCCACACCCTCTTCTCACCTTGGACATCTGCACACACCCCACACCCTCTTCTCACCTTAGACACCTGCACACACACCCCACACCCTCTTCTCACCTTGGACATCTGCACACACACCCCACACCCTCTTCTCACCTTGGACATCTGCACACACACCCCACACCCTCTTCTCACCTTAGACATCTGCACACACACCCCACACCCTCTTCTCACCTTGGACATCTGCACACACACCCCACACCCTCTTCTCACCTTGGACATCTGCACACACACCCCACACCCTCTTCTCACCGTGGACATCTGCACACCCCACACCCTCTTCTCACCTTGATGGTGATGGGACATCAGAGAAACCTTTGTTGAAGCCACTATGGAATTTGGCTTTTTCCTTGCTTCTGTAGGCTCAAAAAGAACACAGGAAGTTGCTCTTTTTCCCCAAGACTTCCATGATAATCAAGGAAGGGAATGTTGGCTAGGACACTTTATTCTTTTGGAAATGTGGCATGGGATTATGAATTTCCATGAGCAAAATTACCCTGTCTGGTAGAGTCTAGACTCTCTGCTAGCCAACAGGCTAGCTGGAGTCCACGCTGGCACCCAGAGAGGCCTGTGGACTGATAGTCTGAGAAGGGAACAAATTACCTATAAATATGCTTGGTAGGAGGGAGAGGAAAATCTCACCACCTGAGCAGTATTCTTGAAGCAGTTTGAAACTTGATAAATTACAGCTAATGAAGGACAATCTCCAAATCCTCCTGAAATAGTAAAGTAGTGGGAGTTGTGAGACACCTCCATTGTCTAGTAGGGAGAATGCTCCCACAGATCAGAACATCAGAGAGATGAGACCACAGTGAGGGACAAATTCTCACATCCTCCTATACTTCAAGGAGAAGGTGTTGCAACCTCTGCCACTGCTGCTCCCGCTGCATGGCCAACCTTCACAGGGAGGCCCAAACTTTGGTGCACCCCTGGATCTGTGGAGCCCAAGCCAGCTTTGACACACTGAACTTCAGGCCCCAGCACTGAGTGAGACTTTGACTGCTGAGGCCTAGCCCTGGTGAAGGGAATGACATTTTCTGCTTATCACTGGCTGCTGAAATATCTTCAGTCCAAAGGCCTGAATGCCTTTGACATTTCCCTCTGGGACTAATATTCAACATGGCCCCATTGCTCATGTAGAAAATGATTCAAGGAAAGACTTTCTTCCTCCTCAAGAGAGAACATGGAGGAAATGAGCAGACTGATGTCTCAGGATGCTTTACATGATGACTAGTCACTGATGTCTGAGAGCATCTAAAAGATATTCCTAGACCAGCTCCGGCTGAAAGGCACCTGTTATGCATGGCCATGGCTGACTTTTCATGAGAGCGCTGGGAATTCAAACCAAAGTCCTGAGGAAGTGTTCTTACTGACTGAGCCATTCTCCCAGCCCCTCCTGCATGCTTCCAGAAGGAACTCCTCAAAGCGCTTGGTAAGCTGAGAACTAGAACAAAGAAGGGACCTGCTCACAGCCTCAGGACCACAATTGACAGAGCTTCCCTGGGACCTTAAGAAAGTCCCTTCCACATGCCAGGGAGCTGGCTTCTTGGGGTTGTAAAGAGAGCACCCGAGGGCTCAGAGGAAGAGACCTGCCTGGTTTGGAAGTCGACAGTTGGCCATTTTTCTTTTGTTTAGATTCTGTGCCAACCTTCCCATTTTCTCTCCCACAGACAGTTTTTGAGCGGAATTGCCGATCTGAGGACTGCGCTGCCGACCTGCAGCTTCGGGGGAAACTCCTGCTTTCCAGGTATGTTACTGTTCCTTTTGTGACACTGTTCTTTTCATGATGCTGTTCCAAGAAGCTGGTCTTTTTTGGACTCCAGACCCAAAGTCTGGAAGTCTAGATTTCCCCAACAAAAAAGGGTAAGCAGTATTAGATACTTTGTGAGTTGGTTTTAGAATGTATGTTATAAATACAGTTTTAAAAACAGGTATTACCAGAGGGATTAGCTGGGGTTCAGTTTGCAGTTTTACCCCAACTCACAATTGACTGCTCCTTATAATTTCTTTTTGTGTGTTGAGAGCAGACTAGACATTAATTACGTTACGTTAGATTGCACCATGGGAAACTGCCAGCATTTGACCTCTGGGCTTGGTCTCACATGACTTAAGGTAGTATTATGTGAGAAGTCCTTTCATCTTCCCCCTGACATTTAACAGTGGTGTCCGTTTTAGCAGCGGAACAGTTTCTGAAGCAGGACGGGGTGAAGGAAGGGGGCAGCCAGCCTGCCCATGCAAGCAGTCTCTTTATTATTTCAGGGCTTCCTCCCATAGTCTGCAAATCCCCCACGGCTAGAGATGAACCACACCAAAGCCTTCTGTCCCCCTTCGCCAACCTTTTATTTTAGGTTTCCTTTGGAGTGACTGCTTGTCCTGAATCAGCCACATGTCAGACAATGGTTTCCTTTGGTAACAGGAGTTCTGAAAGATTATATTAGCTTTTGGGCCAAGAACCCCCTCTGTAAGATTTATAGTCACTTCTCAAAGCAACCATCAGTATTACTAGGTGAAAATGTTTGATGGTGTACTTGCCCTTACTGGAAACATTGAGAGTTAAGTTTGAACCAGTGATGACACCCCTGGGACCTTTTTGGTTTTGTCCTTTTGTTTGTTTCAGAGGAAGTCTTACATAGCCCAGGCTAGCCCCTAAACCCCATGTGCCTCAGCCTCTAGAGTGCTGGGATCACAAACACACCACCCCGCCTGGCTCCGGTGCTGTGACGCTGTCACTTTCCTGTGTGTTTGTGGGTATAGGGAAGTATGCATTCACATGTGTGCCTGTGGATCCTGACACTGTCACTTTCCTGTGTGTGTGGGTGTAGGGAAGTATGCATTCACACGTGTGCCTGTGGATCCAGAGGTCAAATCACACGTGTCATTTTCAGGGACGGGTTTCTCTCACTGACCTGTGACCCTGGAAACCTGAAACAACCGGCTAACTAGTCTAAACTGGCTGGCCAGGTGAGGCCTGTGATCACCTGTCCCTACCTTCACAGTGTTAGAATGACTAGTGCACAGCGCCAAGCTTAGCTTCTTATGTGGGTCCTGGAAACAAACTGCAGGTCCTCACATCTGTGTGATACACACTTCATCCACTGGGCCACAGCCTCGGTCCCCACACTTCTAATATTTAATAACAGTTTATTCATCAAAGGAAAATCACACTGAGATTCCAGTTGTTTCATTGTGGCATACTGTCCCAGCCCCCTCCCCTCCCCACAGTGTACACATACCTTCTCCCCAAGTCTTCGACGCTAACTGCCTCTGGTTTCACTCTGGAAGCAGAGGTGGCCTCAAGTAGCGCATGCTTTCCTAAGCTGAGGAAATTGCTTTAGACTCAGAGAGTGGATAATGAGGCTGTTCAACAGGAGAAGAGCCTCCGGGGTGGTTAGAGACATCAATTCTAAAGAGGTTCATAAATTATCAGCTCATTCATTTTAATTTTAAGTATGTCTTCCAAAAAAGTGTTTTAGGGAAAATACACGAGTTTCTTTTTATGTTGAGCTAGACTGTAAATGCTGGGGTTTATTTTGGATCATAGAAGACTTCATGTGGTAGGAAAATATCCACTTGATGCATGGCTAAGCGTTGCTAGGAAAGTTCTGGCACCCTTGCTAGCCATTTGTGAACTGTGCTTTCTGTGTCACAAGATGGAAACCTCAAGGATCATGGTCAGAAAAGAACTTTTGGCATAAGTTGCTTCCATCGCTGGCCTTTGAGAGTGCTGTTGAAGCATGGCCAGAAGCCCAAGCTGTGATAGCAGTACCTGTGACATCTTACCAATATGGCCACCTGAACAAGACCCACACAATGACAACACCCATTCACATCCCAATGTGGATGGAAGCAAGCCAGGCCCCAGCCCAGGATGAAGAGCTATAGGCGATTAATGGCTGCTAAGAGAGGGGACTCAGTCTTCTCCAGGTATAAACCCCCTATAGGTTATCTAGTCCCAAATGGTTAGCACTAAACACATACACATCTAAGTAACACTGAATGGACTCAGAGGGTTGTGTTTCTCTTCTCCCCCTCCCCATCCTGTGGTGTGTGTGTGTGTGTGTGTGTGTGTGTGTGTGTGTGTGTGTGTGTGTGTGACCAGATGAGGGGAGAGAAAGATCAATGGCACAAAGTGGCAGTCCTTTCCTCTTACGGACCTGCAGGTATCCTGAAGGTTGCTTACATTCAACTGTACCTCGGCAGATGCATTTGTGCGTCTGAGTTTGATGAGGGGTAGAGTCTAGGCCTGGTTGTCCTAGCCTGGTTCCCTCCTTCCACTGACCCTCTGGAAGCAGTGGGCTAGAGTGGGCGTAGTCTTCTCAAAGAATGTCAAACTTGTTCGAGGGCTAGCACCAAGAAGCAGTGGCTCTTTAGGCCTGGGCTCAGAACTGGGACACTGTTACTTTGGCCTTGTTCTATTGGCTACAGTATGTCACATGGCCAAACTCAAAGTCAAGGACTGGAAAATGTTATCAGCCTCTTTAGTGTGCGGATTTCCAAAATTTATGGGAAAGGGCATGAACATAGAGAGGGCAAGGGATAGTGACCCATGACATGATCTACTGTGGTCCATAAGGAGCAAGGTTAGGCTCATCTCTCATCCTGAAACCATAATACTTTCAGGGTGAATCTGGTCTTTCTTGGAATTTCATCACCTTAGGGACAGAGACAAGCCCTGGCACCTGGGTGAGGTTTCTGAACCCCAGAACAGTGTCCTTAGACCTCTGTACCCATCCTTAAGAATGAGATGTTTTCCTATAGAACCTATGGTCTCTTCCCATGGCCAGATCTTCCATGAAAGAAGGCTTTGTGATGCTCTTAAAGCCCCTGGTTTTCCACAGGAGGTCTCAGGGAAACACTCTTCCATAGCCGGGTGAGTAGAGACAGAAGCCAAACCATAGACTCTTGTGAGCCCGGCGTGTGCGGGAAGACACAGCCGGAGGACAGTGGTGGAAACGAGGCTCTAGACTGGGTTCAGTACAGTTTAGTGCCTTGAGGCAGAGGAAGCTTTCTTACTTATTGACTAGCGTGTGACTCGTTATTGCCTGGGGTGCAATGCACACTCATTTCTTGTTTGAGCAGGTACTAAGAACAGCTGTAGAGATAAATGGCAAATGGGTCCTGCTCTCCTGGTCTGTGTAGTCGAGGCAGGGGTGACCCAAGAGACTGGCTGGTGGTGATGGGTGTGAGAAGAGAGGGGGTGGACTCTTACAGGGAGCATCTCCAGGAGCCCCATATCAAGGGGCGTGGAGAGAACTGAGGCACTCTAGGTAAAGTGTGAGCAGAGATTTGGACTCCCATGAAGAACTATGGGTGTCTAGATTTGTGGAGATGCTTGGGAGACATGAGATGAGGCAGAAGGAAGGAGAGGAATTGGATTGCAACACACCCATGAGTTGGTGCTTCATCTTGAAGCCAGGGGAGGATAGGAGAGTCCCAGAGGAGGACAATAAACCTAACATGGATGCAGTAAGCCATGCTTGAGGGCCCAGGGCATGGGATATTGAGGTTGTCAGGGTTGTTTGGTCTCCTGCATTCAAAAATCTGTAGAACCTAGCTGTCATTAGTTCTGTGCCTTCACTATAGGAAGCTGTAGCGTAAGAGTATGGGAAGGAGGCCTGTGATGGCTGGGCAGTCTGCAGTACAAGATGCTATGGCAGACTGAGGACCATGTATCGTATGGAGGGGAGACATGCTCACTGATGGAGAGTGTCTACGGCCCTTGGAGAGAACCCAAGTTCAGTTACCAGCTTCCAGCTGACTAGAGCTCCAGCTCCAGGCATCAGGCACCTCCTTCTTGCCTCTTTGGGTACCTCTGTTCATGCATGCCCTCCCCCGCCCCCTGCAAACACAGGTGATTATAAATAAAAATTTTAAAGAAAGTAGAGGGGAAATGTTGAGGGAGTGGGTCACCCAGAATAGTCAGGACCATGAACATAGTTGGTGTTTTTCTTCAGTTTTTGTCTTTTGAGACAGGGACTCACTAAAGAGCCCAGGCAGAGCTCAACCTGACAGTCTTCCACCTCAGCCTCCCAAAAGCTGGGATTATGGGCATTTGCCACTCTGCCCAGGTTGGATATTATTTTTCCCCGGGGGAAGCCCCATGCTATGACATGCCATCCACAGATACCCAGGAACAGGGATGGAATTGTTCAGGTGGTCTCCATTGAACAGTGCTGTCAATTCCATTCATAGAAGATCCGATCGCCTTTCAGGGTATGCATAGTACCTCAGAAAGCATCAGATGTGATCACAAGAAAAGAAATAGAAAGGAAAATAGGTTGTGGCAGTTGAGATGAAAACTTTTTGTTTGTTTCGGAGCATCCCACCGAGGATAGTGGAACACATCAAGGCTTCCTTAACAACCAACCCCAATTAAAAATTAAGGGCCTTGAAAAGACTGTGGAATATTTGCAAAGTCCAAACCATTTGCAGCCACATAATTATACCCTGGCTGTAACTTTGGTAACACTGCTTTCATGGGGATTGAGAGAGTATGTTTCCCTAAACCACTGACTGGCTGGAGGGTGGCTAGCTCCACCCATGAAGGACTAGCTTATAGAAGAGGACCACCCCATCTCAAGAGCACCCATAGTTGGGAGCTAATTGTTCTCCTTCTCAGAAGTGGTCAGAACCATCAACCACGGTGGAGAAAAGAAATGAGGTTTTCTTCTTTATTGAGCATCTGCTATGCACTAGGTACCCTACAAAGTTCTCCATGTGAGGCTGCAGAGATGGCTCCACATGGAG